TCATTAGAACTACACTTAATCTACATCCTGTTATAATATTATAGTTATGTCTGACTTTGTACTATGCTGTCCGCCAGTGACAGTCCTCCAGTTTTCCGCCGTTATTTCTCTATTACTTGTCCTACCTGTCCTACCTGTCCTACTTGTTCGAGCTTTGGACCCGTTCGTAACTGCCTGCAGTTTCTAGTTACTTTTGTTATTTTATTTCATTTTTTCATATACGTTTATTATGGAACACATAATCATACTATTTAATGAAACATTAAAAGAAAAAAAATATATATTAAGTAAAGAACAAACCATATCATTAAAAAAATCTTTTGAGTTCATTATCAGAATTAAGCATATACTGAAATTGAATGGACATTTGGATTTCTGAAAATGCGTTGCAGATATTTAGATGTCAGGTGGAACATTACAATACAACCCTCAGAACAGCAGCAGGCTTTTGTTCTCCCCATCTTCTGACATCATTATACCACTTTCCGCACTGAGCTGGTGATCTAAGGAAGCCAGAAAATGAGGACACACTTGTTGTTACCACCTCTCACACGAGCGTGTCCGTTTCCTCAGGCGAAAAGTGATCTGGCTTGCCGGGCAAACGCGCCATTGTAATAGCAATCCGCCATAGATCATGTCATTCTGATTGGTTTATTGCTTGTTACACCCAAAACACACCTCTCTATACTTATGAGAGTTAGGACAACCTTTTTACGCCTTGCCCTGGAGCCGAGTCTGTTTTTTCCATGTTCAAAATAGCGAAATGGGTTTGGACATGCCCAAAACTTTTAGTTGCACTTTACATTTTGCATTAGATCATCAAAACAGAACCCCGTGTGTTAAATATTGAAATATTCTGTAGGTTCATAGCAGTACAACTCCATAATCCAGTTCTTATGTGGGAACTAGGGGTGTAAATCACAGCCTTCCTCGCGATACGATGCAATATCGATTCCTTAAGCCAACGGTCTGATTTTTTTGATACCTCAGAAATTCCCACGATACAATACGATACAATTCGATTCAGTTCGATACTGGGGATAGTAGTCGAAATGATGAAATTTCACACAATCCTTTACATTTCAATGAATTAAAATAGGCAGATATAATTAGCATTTTATCATATTTTATTGGGAACTGTAAACAAAATCTATTGTAGTTAAGTATGTCCCATAAATCAAGCAAAATAAAGTGCAATACGGTAAAAATAAAAACTTTGGATGGATGTAGATTAACACGGTGACTAATTTTCATTTTGAATCAAGTCTTCTCCAGACAAATACGAAATTGTAACAAAAAGTATGTTCATAACTGTCCTGACCTGCTCGTATGACCCTCTCGTATGCTACGCCCCTCATTAAGTTTGCGTGCAATCCCGATTGTTCCCTTGTTTCTTATTGTTTCGTCTAGTCCTGTGTATTTAAGTCCATGTCAGAGTCTATCGCCCAGATCTGTCATTGAAGTTTTCTCCGTGTTGCGTGCTGTGCTTGCAATAACCCCCCCCCCCCCCTACCACCCCGTTTGTTGGATTTCTGTCTGCCTGACCCTGATTCCTCGTTCCCTGCTCGCTCGCCCTACGCTGGGATACAACAGTAACAAGTAAAATAAAGTCAAATAAAAAAACATTGCATGGACAGATATGTAGAATGAGGGAGATCAACATGACTGACTTCTGCGGTGAAACAAGTATGTCAGTATTCTTTTTTTTTTTTTTTTTTTTTTAAAGAAAAATTAAATGGTCAACGTGTTCAGGAGATTGTGTGCTCTGAGCATAGCGTCCTATGTGACCTGCCGTACTAAACACACGCTCTGAAGGTACACTAGCTTACGAGCTACTTATAAATGACAAAATCAGAATGATCTTACACCCGGCCCACATACCGCAATGAATGACGGCCCCTTGATGGCCCAGATTTGGTTTGCCAGAGGTGGCCCACACATGGGCCAGCACAAAGCCAGATGCAGACATGTTGGTGGCCCTGTTCTGGCCCAGAACAGTTTCAGCTCGGGCACCAAATGTCAGCCTATGTGTACCTTAATCAAGTCATAAAATACCTACTTAATATTAATTCAATATTCATTGAAATATTAAGTTACCTCATCATTCAAATAAAGTTTCTCTAACTTAATTTTTTTGTTTTCTACTCAGAAATGTCCATGCAAATAGTTAAAACACTTTCTTTAGTATTAGTACCTTGTTTTACTTGAGTCAGGGGAAATAAAAAGCAACCGCATTTCACAATTCACAATAGTGGGAACCATACTCTTACTTGAAATTCTGTAATTCTTGTAATTGCCAAAATGACCTAAATGTAGGCTAATATGGGGCATCAGCATGATACACATGAAAATTGACTTTTGTTTAAATTGAAAATTTAAGCTTTTATTTGAAAAGCTCTGTTGTAATAACTGTACTATCATTTTTTAGAATACAAGAAGCGATGGGCTTGGCTGAAAGACACCAAGATACCGAACTGGATCAGGTAGGTGCCCAAGATACATCTGACCCACTGGTTGGTGTCCTGGGACCTGTTTCTATACATCAATTTGTCCAGATTATGGTTTTGGGACCGGTCCACCACAAACGCTTTTTCATTAAGTGGATAATTTGGAAAGTATTTCACTGAACTTTTCCAAACTTTTCAGAGGAATTACATGAGTAACAATCTGCAGCTGATTAAATTTTGAAACAAATCACCCCAAAATTGAAACAGCAGCAATAGGTGGCAGCAGAGGTTGGAAAGGGAGGTTGCAGCTGACATCTTGTGAACACAGCAATCTGCCATCTCTGCGTATTCCGTGGATCTTTTTGGATTTCCCATGATCATTGTACAAGTCAGTGATTCTTAAAATGTGGGGCACAAGGTGATTTTCTCAGTGTTCTCAGCATTTTTTTTATGTAGCAGTCCAGTTGCCTATTCGTAAAACTCATGGTGGGGACCTCAGATAAATTTATTATGGGCTTTGAAGATATCTTTGGAGAGGTGTATGCTTGGCTTGGGCAGTGTTATGGTAATATTTTTGTCATACTGCATTATTTTCATTCAGTGTAATGTATCGTGGGAGAATTTAATCGTGTCAAGTCCTAGTCAGTGGTGGCACAGGAAAGAACAGGCACAGATCTGGTGGTCTGGTCACACAAAGCGGCTCCAGACAAATGGCCTGACCTGGCACTCAGCCCAAGTTTTTCTCTCAACTATGTCTATATATGTCTGTATGTATATCTCAGAAGAAGAGTAATTAACCATGTTTAACCATCGAGGGTGAAGGTGAGCTCAGCCATAAAGCAAGATAAAGTCACTTGTTCAGCAATCTGAATCACTGAACAAGAATCTGCATTGTTCCTTCTGGATTTGGGGTTCAACCAATGAAATGACCCTCCTCTCCAGGACCCTGGCATAAACCTTCCCTGGGAGGCTGAGATGTGTGATCCACCTGAAGTTGGCACACATCCTCTGGTCCCCTTTCTTAAAGACTGGGACTCCACTCTGCCAGTCCAAAGGCAAAGTGCCCAATCTCTAAGTAATGTTGAAGAGACATGTCAGCCACCACAGCCCAATAAGATCAAGAGCTTTCAGGAACTTGGGGCAAATCCCAAATACCCCCACAGCCTTACCACCAAAGAGTTTTTGAACTACTTTGATGACCTCAATATTGTTTTTGTTGAATATAGATAATCACATGCATATACTGAAAATAAGAACATTCGATTTTTCTTCATTTTTTTTTTTTTTTGCAAAAACAACATGTCAGTGCAGTAGTTTCTTTTGGAGAATGTGAGGATTATGCATCCCCTATATGAGAAAGTAGCCCCATACTAATAAATAAAGTGCTGCGTCCAGTTTTGAACCAATATGGGATGTGATTTGTCTTGTATTTTCGGAGTGAAATGGTGAGGAAAAACCATGAGATTCTGAAAAGGCTGACTGATGCGATTCAATTCTTGGATCCACAGGCATTGATAACCATGCACAGTATTAAGAAGAAGATGATCATAACCCATAATTTCCACTACAAAAATGGTTGAAGCTTTGAACAGGGTGCAGGTCGAGCAGAATAAGACCAAGTTGGAAAGGGAGACACATTGTTACAAAGAGTAAATAAATGTACAAAACCTATAGTACACTTCACTCCAGTTTTTTGTTTTGAGGGCACATATTTTCTTTAGGCAAGAACACAAATATCTAAACTGTAAGCATAACTAAGCATAACATAACTACGTGAAATAGCATTATTGAGAGCATGAAACAAGTTAGTATTTTAGCATTTTTTTAAGCCTTTATTATTTCATGGCACATTAAAATAAATTATGTGCATGATTTAGTACATTTTCGGTCTGTGGCCCCTCCAGGGCTCCGGTTCTTACTGTTATTTCACAGAAAATGTTGGTCATAGTGCAAATTCAAAATCAGAAATGCAGTTAACTACTTATTTGGTGCAGTTCGGCAAGTAAGTGGAATGTGCAGCAGATGAATAGGAGTAGTTTCTCAGTTGTGTATCACAACTAGCACTCAGAGTAGTCTCATAAAAACCCATTTATTGGCTTTCACATTTCTAGTTCATTCATCCAGTAATTGTAGAAATTGTAGATGCTGGGGGATGTGAGAGGAGTAAGACAGCTCCTGGTTATGACAGGGATGTCAGGGGGCTACATTGTAGTCGGTCGAACCACATCTTTTCTAGTTATACATGATTTTGTATATAGTACCAAATCTGTGTCCCTTGTGCTCTTCCTCATTCCCTTTAAGTATGGAGTCTGTTGATGTAGAGCACAGGTAGGCAGCCCTGATCCTGGAGTGCTGGTATCTGATGAACCACACCTGATCTCAGGCAGATAGTAACTCATCAGGTACAGAAAACCATCTGGATGCTGGCGCTCCAGGATCAGGGTTGCCTACCCCTGAGGTAGAGGAAGAGCCCCTATTATAACTCAGCATACAGGAACATTTCAGTACATTCTCCATATTCCCTTGTCGTTAATTAAACATGGTAGGGATTGCGGTCATATAGACTTGGTCATTATATCAGACATCTATTGAAATCTGTCAGGAAGGAAGCTAATTTCTTACATTACCCATGCATGAATGTTGTGAATACTTTACCAGTTTAAATGTTTGACTTTGTATTTATATTTGTTTGGTTGTAGAAAGTGGCAGTGTTCTCCACCATGCATTTACTTGGGCCACCGACGCCCCCTGTTGGCCACATTAAATATTAAACTCATTTTTTGTTTAGGAGATGTTGAAGCAGTATATTCTGATAACCAGCTAGCTAGTGACAATCTTTTGACTCTACTTTCTAGCTGATTATTTAGTCATTGACACATACAAGGGTGGGGGTCCTAAAGTGACTTTTTGGAACAACAGATCCGCCTCTGGTTGAAGACTGCTGGTTGGTCATTTTCATGCTTGGTTACATTAAAACTAATCATGTAAACTGAAAATTAAACACCACTTCATGCTCAATCATATTCTGATAGAAACTATCTAAACCCTCTCATGGTGACTATAGTCCTCACATCCTTCTGTAAACCACTTCATGGTGACTGCTGCTTGTTTAATGGAATCTGAAAACATGATTTGTGATTTATATGATTTATCAGCTAACAGTATTACGTACTTTTATAGAGATCACACGACAGTCACAAGATAGGCGACTGTTCACCTGTTGATCCCAATAGATAAAATACAGAGCAGTTAAATGATGAAATATTATCTTTCTGGTTCTTAAGACAAGACTGTCATGGTCACTACATTAGACATTTGAAATCAGTCAGTATGGAATGTATCGATTTAGTGATGCAATTGCTGAGATGTTAACATTTCTTTAATGTTCAGTTACTTTAAAACTAGTCATGTAAACTGAAGGGTAAATGCTACTTCATAACCTCTACATTATTTTTTGACAAAAACTATCAGTATGAATTGTCAATTCATGAAATGTATGAACTGACACTCACTTTTTGCAGAGATCACATGACAATCAGGATATGGAGGCATCTTCACCTGCTGATCAAAATAAAGCAAACACAGAGGAGGTAAATATGCATATAAGGCATTTACACATGTTTAATTAGAAGAACCTATGCTTATTTTATACAACTATACAGCAGTTTAGCATGTTTGGGGCTGGGTTTAGGTAAGGATAAGGTCATTTATATGTGAGGTTTGTGCTTGATTTTTATGCCAGAGGATTATAAATTGTATCCCTGGATTTATGATACTGACAAGTATTATTGTTATAATAGAGCTTTGCCTTCTGCTGTTCCCTGGTTGTAGGGAGAGGATGACTGAAATCCTAATTACAGTTTTCTGTTTGAAGGTGCCAAGGTCTGTTGAATAACCAGGCCAGTGAGATAATCAGTCACCAGATTATCAGTTATCTGTTACAGTTTATTGTGTTTGACTTGAGAGACTTGGCTGGGTAGCAGATGTACCTTTGTTTTGAGGAGGCCCACTTGTGTGAATGAGGCGGCCTGCAGTCCTCATGACACCGAATCTGCTTGTCAGCACACATGAGTAGTTTTCTGTAAGATATCAATGAATAGGAAAAGTGCATCCACCTTCAGGAAAACCCTCCAGAAACAGTCCTTTGTAAATATTTGTATATGATTATCTCACATTTGCTGTATTCTTTACAATATTAAAATCTACATTATAGTTATCTTTAATTATTCTGAATAAATCCTCACTGTTTTTATTGGTCTATGGCTATATATTATGCTCATACTAGCACTTGGTGATTCCTGTAATTACTCTTTTCTTCTCTTTGAATATTAATGACAGGTCTTCACTCAGAAAGTGGAGCAAGCAATCAAGGAGGAGGCATGATTTTCTGGGTCCTGCATCATGTTTTTGCATCTTATGAACTTCATATGGTTTCATGTAAGGTTTTCATTGAGATATACTGTATCTATAGAGATTCAGGGTGTTCACCGTTAGATTAAGTTTAAAAGCTTCAGGACATTTGGTGCTGTCAGAGTGAATATAGTGTGAATCCTATTTTTAAAGCCTCCCTGCTCTTGATCTGAGTATTTCCTCTTTAATTGGTGTGAGGCTACCCCACCGAACCAGTCACCAAGCTGAACACCAGCCAAGGGTGAAGCCATTTGGTGGGGGGGCAGTAACATATGATATAACCATGGTTTCCTCACTGCTGACCAGCAGAAGTGCTTATGGAATACGATTGGAGAGTGATTATGACCCCGATCTGGGGAGGAACTTTTAATATAATGTGCTGACAATTTTGACTAAAATGACAGAAAAAAATAAATATTTTAATGTGTGGGCTACATTGGACAATAAATGTACCTGTATAACTGGGACTGAGACTGGCTGGAATGAAAAGCCGAGAAACACGCATGCAGGTGCGCATGTGTTTTTGCAGGTGGATAATGTAGAATGACAGGCATGCAGGGGTGCTACCTCCTACCACTGGAGGGTGACCACCCTGAATGGATCACCACCTCATCACAGGCCCCCTTGTGGTGTACTGTGGTATACTGTGGTATACTGTTTCCTAATGTTCCACAATAAACTTGCCCCTTCTTGGGTCCCTCTATGCACCTACTGTCTCCAGTGTCTCTTTGCCTGGTGACATTAAATTGGCATCGAGCGAAGATAGTCACTGTATGGATTCTCAGGCTGAGGGACACACTCCCACATCTAAGCATTAGAAGGAAAGAGTTCCTGTCAGATGTCAATATGGCTGAGAGCAGGCTGGAGAAGCAGACTTTTCTACAGCTGTAAGGCCATATATACTGAATCCTAGGGTCCAGTTTCCCAAAAGCATTGCAGTCCTAAGACCATTGCAAGATGGATGAGACACTATCAGTTTGAATTCTCTCTCTTAGTTATGATGATCTTAGCCCTACACTGAAAAAAAGAACATGTTGAATTTACTTAATTCAATAGTGGACAGTGGTTGCACAGATGTTTTGCTTTGGTAGCAACTTGAACAATTGAGTTAAATTAACACAAGTTATTCATATTCAATAAACCTGTGTATTTTCTGTTGATACAGTGTGATTGAAACATGTTTTGTTAAAGTAATTTGAGCTCTTGGAACATTTTAATCCTTCTCGATTTTATCACTTTATTCCAACACTATTCAATCATTTTTCCTCCAATACTATTTGGTCACTTAAAAACTACAAGTTGTTTTCATATTACATGTTAATATTATATTCGAGTGTCAATTACACAATTTTACAATGGAGGTCTTAAAACAGATTGTTTGTATTGCACTGAAAAAAAAAAGAATTGTTGGACCAACTTAAAAAAATTGCACTGAAAAAAAAAGAATTTTTGGACCAACTGAAATTGGCTTCAATTGGTAACACACAAATGAATTAAGTTTTTTCAAATCAAGTTAAGTTTAATTAACACATTTGCTTTAAGTTAGGTGTACTGAATAATCTGATTACATTCAAATCAATAGTTTTTATTAATGCAACTGAAATTTTAGACAAGTCAACTTAAAGTCTGCAGTTTTTACAACACAGTTATTTGCTTTATAGAAAAGTAAAATACTGCACCATATGATTTCAAGAAGTCTTTTTTGTATACTTGCATTTACTATATTAAATATATTTAAAATACCAATGAAATGCATTTGCTAAAAAAGTTATACAATCTTTTGTTTTCAGATTTTATGATGTAAATAAATTACTTCTTTGTCCATTTCTCTAAATGAAACATTCACTAAATGCATATTTAGAATAGATATGACAAGAAATGTTCATAACTATGTTGATTTAACAAGTTGTCAAAATTCCACTGAGCAACAGCTAGCACATTTTAAAAAGTGCATAACAGTTGGGCTATAAACAAAATTCTTTCAAAACTCCTTTCAAACAAAAATACCAGTTTTTACAGCAGGTGAATATTATACAACTAAACAGTATTACAATTTAGAGCAGCAAAACAACTGGCAGCCAATGGTTTCAGTTCGACAACAGTTGATTTATTTTCAATTTCTAAACCCAAATGAATACAAAATGATTAATGAAGAAATTAACTGACAAAATCCAAGTTACGTTTTTTCTGCAAAATATTTTCATTCATTATGCTTTATTATTGTAATTCACATGTGTTCACAACATTTTGATATTTTATGTACACAGCAAATGTGCCAGTGTTAAATTAGCACTGCATGGTGTCTATATGGGTCCACACCATTTAATGTTACCTTTAACACTTCACAGTGTGCAGTGAGTGTTGTTTTTACAGTAGTAATCTTTTTTTTTTTTTCCTCCACCACCCCACCTCTGCGGAGGACTACTTTATTTGTATTTATTTATTTTTATTTATTTATTATATTTTTATTTACTTCCTCAAGAGAAGGAGAGGTAGAAAGAGGGGGGAAACAAAGAAGAAGAAGAGGGATAGAGAGAGAGGGAGAGAGAGGAGAAAAAAAAGAGAAAAGAAAAAAACAAAACACATAATCTGCTTCCATGTCTGCTGAAGAGAGAAAAACAACATACAACATCTGTACTAATCACAACGAACATCAAACGTTAAATGTTGTTGAACAGCACACACAACCAGCATTACAACACATGGCACTGTGTGCACACCTGTGTGTGTCAGCGCGCTGGTGTTCATAAGGTTTCTCCATATAAATGTCTAGTAATGTGTGTGGGGAGCCACAGCCCCGCCCACCCAGGACATGAAGGCTGGTGCCCCAGACATCCAGGGATCCCCCAGGGCACGGGAACCCCAGGAGGACCACCGCAGGGACAATTGCAGCCCCCACCCAGAAAAGGGCAGAGGCGTGCTCCGGAGGGGGGCCATCCGGCAGCCACATCGCAGGAGCCCCAGGGGGCCGTGGCG